GAGACCCAGGAGGACCCCACTGCTGACACAGAAATATGGTAGGAGGACCCGCTGCTGACACAGAAATATGGTAGGAGACCCAGGAGGACCCCACTGCTGACAAAGAAATATGGTAGGAGACCCAGGAGGACCCCACCACTGACACAGAAATATGGGAGGAGACCCAGGAGGACCCCACTGCTGACACAGAAATATGGCAGAAGACCCAGGAGGACCCCACTGCTGACACAGAAATATGGTACGAGACCCAGGAGGATCCCACCGCTGACACAGAAATATGGTAGGAGACCCAGGATGACCTCACTGCTGACACAGAAATATGGTGGGAGACCCAGGAGGACCCCAATGCTGACACAGAAATATGGTGGGAGACCCAGGAGGACCCCACTGCTGACACAGAAATATGGTAGGAGACCCAGGAGGACCTCACTGCTGACACAGAAATATGGTAGGAGACCCAGGAGGACCCCACTGCTGACACAGAAATATGGTGGGAGACCCAGGAGGACCTCACTGCTGACACAGAAATATGGTAGGAGACCCAGGAGGACCCCACTGCTGACACAGAAATATGGGAGGAGACCCAGGAGGACCCCATTGCTGACACAGAAATATGGTGGGAGACCCAGGAGGACCTCACTGTTGACACAGAAATATGGTAGGAGACCCAGGAGGACCCCACTGCTGACATAGAAATATGGGAGGAGGACCCCACTGCTGACACAGAAACATAAAAAAGCCAGACTGGAGTTTACCAAAACTCACCTGATGAAATCAAAATCCTTCTGGGAGAATGTGCTGTGGACAGACGGAACCAAATTCCAGCTTTTTGGTAAAGTCCATCATTCTACTGTTTTCAGAAAAAGCAATTTAAACCCTTTAAAGAAAAGAATCCAGTCCCTCCAGTCACACATGGTGGGGGGTCACAGTCCCTCCAGTCACACATGGTGGGGGGGGGGTCACTGATGGTTTGGGGTTGCTTTGCTGCTTCAGGCACTGGATGTCTTGACCATGTGCATGGCATTATGAAATCTGAAGACTACCAAGGAATTCTGGGATGCAATGTAGGGCCCGGTGTCAAAAAGTTGGGTCTCCAATGTCAGAGGTCATGGGTCTTCCAGCAGAACAATGACCCAAAGCACACGTCAAAGAGCCCCCAGAAATGGTTTCAGACAAAGCGCTGGAGAGGACTGAACTGGCCAGCAATGAGTCCAGATCTCCATCCCATAGAGCTCCTGTGGAGAGATCTCAGAACAGCAGTTGGGAAAAGGAACCTTCCAATCTGAAGAGAAATTCCAGTAGAGAGGTGGAAGAAACTTATTGATGGTTACAGGAAGCCATTGATTTTAAGTATTCCTTTCAAGGGCCGTGTTACCAAATATTACATGGAGGGTACCAATAATTCTGTCCGGTCCATTTTTGGGGTTTTGGGTGGAATTTGTCAGATTTGGCTTTTTACTTCTCCACTCTCTTGTGTCATCCCAATACAAGCCAAAGAAATATACATGAGAATGCCGAAATATTTGTCATTACAGCGATTTTCTGGGTGAAGTGGTGTGTGATTGGACAGAAATGCCGTGGGGGGGGGGGGGGGGGGGGGGGGGGGGGAGAAGATGTTTGGCCGGGACTGTATCTCTTTACCGGCGTTTAGAACCGGCAGCATTTCGAGGAAAAAAAAAACCCAACAAATTGCATTCAGCAGAAAAGCTTTTGCGCATAAAAACCACTCAAAAGCACCTGTAGGCACCTAAACGCATGTTGACGCCAATCCCCAAGCATAAATTACCCCCCTTCCAGTACAAATGCCCCCCCTGCTGAATTCCCCCTCCCAGTACAAATCTTTGCCCCTCCATCCCCTCCCTCCTACTATGTCACCACTTCTAGGAAAAAATCCCTCCCTCCCAACACAAATCCCTGCAAATCACCACTCCTAGAACACCCTCCCCCCTCAAATTATCAATCCTAGAACTATCCTTACCCCTTGTTGCACCCCTCCCAATACAAACCCCTTATCCAAATCTCCTCACAGCCCCCCCACCTCACATTATACCACAGTGCCCAGGACAGCCTCCCCTCTCCTTGTGCATCGCGCGCACTCCTGGCAAAAGGTCCCAATTGCCGATCATCACAGTGGTCAGATGACCCTAAACCCCGCCCCCGCCTCCCGGCATCACAAGCCCCTTAAAGGCCCAGGAGGCACGGGTGCCAAGGGGTTAAACTTACAAGTGAATTTTTTGTACCACTATCATTGGCTTCTGAAGTTTACAAATGCGGCAATTTATAAATGGAAAGTTTTAGCTCCGGGAAACGATTGTCTCACAGATAAAAAGTGCATTTCATATGTAGCTATACAGATCTGACCAAAATGAGGGACAAATGAGGAAAGAGGGACAGAAGGACTTTGTCCAAATCGGGGACAGCCCCTCCAAATCAGGGACAGTCCCTCGAAATGGGGAACAGCCCCTCGAAATCAGGAACAGCCCCTCAAAATCAGGGACAGCCCCTCGAAATCAGGGCCAGTTGGGAGGTTTCTTACCACTACTATTGGCTTTTGAAGTTTACAAATGTGGAAATTTCGAAATGGAAAGTTTTAGCACCGGGAAACGTTTTTTTTTCAAAGATAAAAAGTGCATTTTATATGTAGCTATACGGATCGAACCAAAATGTGGGACAAATCGAAATCAGGGACAGTCCTTCGAAATCAGGGACAGCCCTTTGAAATCGGGGACAGCCCTTTGAAATCAGGGACAGCCCCTCGAAATCAGGGACAGCCCCTCAAAATCAGGGACAGTCCCTCCAAATCGGGGACAGCCCCTTAAAATCAGGGACAGTCCCTCAAAATCAGGAACAGTCCCTCCAAATCGGGGACAACCCCTTAAAATCAGGGACAGTCCCTCAAAATCAGGGACAGTCCTTTGAAATTAGGGCCAGTTGGGAGTTTTTTTTTACCACTACTATTGTCTTTTGAAGTTTACAAATGCGGCAATTTCGAAATGGAAAGTTTTAGCACCGGGAAATACTTTTTTCACAGATAAAAAGTGCATTTTATATGTAGCTTTAGGGATCGGACCAAAATGAGGGACAAATGAGGAGGAAAGAGGGACAGAAGCACTTTGTTCCAAATCGAAAACAGCCCCTCCGAATCAGGGACAGTCCCTTGAAATGGGGAACAGCCCCCTCAAAATCAGGAACAGCCCCTCGAAATCAGGGACAGCCCCTCGAAATCAGGGCCTGTTGGGAGATTTTTTTACCACTACTATTGGGCTTTTGAAGTTTACAAATGTGGAAATTTCAAAATGGAAAGTTTTAGCACCAGGAAATGCTTTTTTTTCACAGATAAAAAGTGCATTTTATATGTAGCTATACGGGTTGGACCAAAATGAGGGACAAATGAGGAGGAAAGAGGGACAGAAGGACTTTGTTCCAAATCGGGGACAGCCCATTGAAATCAGGGACAACCCCTCGAAATCAGGGACAGCCCCTCGAAATCAGGGACAGCCCCTTGAAATCAGGGGCAGTCCCTCCAAATCTGGGACAGCCCCTTGAAATCAGGGACAGCCCCTCGAAATTGAGGGCCAGTCCCTCGAAATTGCCAGTTGAGGTTTTTTACCACTACTATTGTCTTTTGAAGTTTACAAATGAGGAAATTTTGAAATGGAAAGTTTTAGCACGGGGGAAACGCTTTTTTCAAAGATAAAAAGTGCATTTTATATGTAGCTATACAGATCGGACCACAATGAGGGACAAATGAGGAGGAAAGAGTGACTTTTTTCCAAATCGGGGACAGCCCCTCGAAATCAGGAACAGCTCCTCGAAATCAGGAACAGCTCCTTGAAATCAACAGCTCCTTGAAATCAGGGCCAGTTGGGAGGTTTTTTACCACTACTATTTGGCTTTTGAAGTTTACAAATGCGGCAATTTCAAAATTGAACGTTTTAGCTCCGGGAAACACTTTAGTCACAGATAAAAAGTGCATTTTATATGTAGCTATACAGATCGGACCAAAATGAGGACAAATGAGGAGGAAAGAGGGACAGAGAGACTTTGTTCCAAATCAGGGACAGCCCCTCCAAATTGAGGACAGCCCCTCCAAATCAAGGACAGTAAAAGCCCCTCGAAATCAGGGACAGCCCCTCGAAATCAGGGACAATCCCTCGAAATCAGGAAGTAAATGCTACATGAGTCAGCGGCCCTTACTCCAGATGGCCGCAGCTATAAATACTAGGCGGTGATCTCTCAGCAAAAGACATGACGGGGACAAGGATGGACGGAGGAGTTCAGTACGAATAATAGAAATGAAGTTAATCGCGTTTTGGTTTGTAGTTCCACTTTAATAATATTTGATAACATCGAATATACAATAATCGCTACAAGAACGTTCGATCAGCATATAAGGGCCACACAAGGACGATGTTCTCCTGGTATTTGGATGGTTTCTCTGTGTGAACAAACGTACTTATAACTAGAGGAGGCCTCTTCTCCGACCCTTCTTTTCCGCGCTCCTCATTGGCTATTTCCCCACGTGACCGTGCATTCTGTAATAATTGGCTGTTTTCTTCGATCACGTGACCGGTATTCGTTAATCATTGACTGTTTTCCCCCACGTGACCGTGCATTCCGGAATCTTATGGCGGGGCCAGTCTTGGAGGTTCTCCGCTCCCCCATCCAGACTAGATTTATTAATAGAGGTCTCCCCGTATGTCGTTCTGTAGATCCGGCAGAGACGATGCCGCAGTCCGGCCCTCTCGTAACCTGTTGGATATATAGACAAGTACTGGAAGCTTGAGGTGGTCTGCCAGTAGTAAAAATGGCAGCGCAGCCACAGAGACGTGCTTACGTAGCCAGACGCAGGAGGAAGTGCTACGGCTGGTGGGGAGCGCGGAAGGGGGTAGTCACGTGTGGGCGCGGTCAGGTGATTGGAGGGCGGTGGTCAGCTGATCTCGGGCCGGTGTCAGGCAGCTTCTGTGTGTTCCCGGATCAGTGAGGAGAGGAGAGCCGCCATGAACGGACATATACTGCTCTACTCCGGGGTCTCCCTGGCCTTCTGGGCGACACTCATCATCGTAGGTGAGAGAGAGACCTCCCCGGCTGTCTGTGTACCTCCTGCCGGCGCCTCATCCCCTCCGGCCTACATGTACCCCCCCCAACCTGACCTCAGTGCTTCTGTCCCCCCAATATATATCACCCCTCCCCCTACACAGCCAGAACCACAGCACCTGACCCACTTCATCCCCTCCCCCAACACTGCACCCCAACACCTGACCCACCTCCTATCCCCTCCCCCAACACTGTACCCCCCAATACCTGACCCAACTCATCCCCTCCCCCAACACTGCACCCCAATACCTGACCCAACTCATATCCCCCCCCAACCCCTCCCCCAACACTGCACCCCACCCAACTCATATCCCCTCCCCCAACACTGCACACCCCAACACCTGACCCACCTCATATCCCCTCCCCAACACTGCACCTCAATACCTGACCCAACTCACACTCCCCCCCCCCAACACTGCAACCCCAATACCTGACCCAACGCATATCCCCTCCCCCAACACTGCACCCCAATAGCTGACCCAACGCATATCCCCCTCCCTCCCCCCAACACTGCACCCCAATATCTGACCCAACTCATATCCCCTCCCCCAACACTGCACCCCAACACCTTACCCACCTCATCCCCTCCCCCAACACCTTACCCCCTTCATATATCACCCCAACACCTGACCCGACTCATCCCTTCCCCCAACACTGCACCCCAAACCAATAGCTGATCCATCTCATCCCTTCCCCCAACATTGCACCCCCGTATCTGATCCATCTCATCCCCCCTCCCCCAACACTGCACCCCAATACCAGACCCATCTCATATCCCCTCCAACTCTGCACCCCACTTCATATATCACCCCAGTACCCTCCCCCACAGACCCCTCCCATACCCCAATACCTGACCAGTCTCCCCAACATTACATATATTATCTCTGTACCCCCCATAGACTCCCCTGTACCCCCATCACCCGGTACCTGACCCTTATGTCACCTGTCTCCCCAGCACTGCACAGCCTGCACCCCCCCATATATCTGTACACCCCCCATACCTTCCTCACCCCAACACCTGACCCTTTGTATATCTCCTGTCACCCCAACACTCCACAGCTTGCAGCCTGTCTCCCCCCTTCCCCATTTATCTGTTATAACACCCCCATACCTCCATCACCCCCAATACCTGACCCCCTTTGTCTTCTTTCACCCCAGCGCTGCAACAGCCAGCCCCCCCCCATATATCATCTTTATCACCCCAATACCTGGCCCTCTTTGTCTTCACCCCAAAACCTGCACTGTCACCCCCCCCCATATGTCATCTTTATCACCCCCAAAACCTGACCCTTATGTCTCCCCAAACCCTGCACTCCCCCCCCCCCCCCCCCCCCCCCATCATCTCTCACCGTGTACTCCATCACCCCAAAACCTGACCATGTATGTCTCCTGTCTCCACTGCACTACGCAGCCAGACCCCCACCCCCCCCCCCCTCCGCAACTCTGGACGTACCCAGGTATACCATCTCTACCCATCCCCCCCCCCCCAACTCATTTGGGTTCACTCTGACCTCCATAATGAGGACCCTTATATTTTCATCCCCATCCATCCCCCAGTACCTGAACCTGTTGCTTTGGTTTGGTCCTAGGTTCCCCCCCCCCGATCAGCTATTCTTCTTCTGTCATCTTGTTTCTGCTCCCCCTCTCGTCTCTTCGACCCCCCCCCCGATATGTGATGTGTTAACTAGGGGCATGCCAGAATGATGTGATAGGACTGGGAGGTCACTTTAGCATGCCTTAGCCATTGAGGTGATATGATGCAGCAGAGGTTGTCAGTGTGAGATTCCTGTGTATGGCAGACATGTGTGATCCCCTCCCCCATCAGGAGGGGGGGGTACAGATGTCAGATTTGGGGAAGTGTCTGTAGAAGGAAGTATCTCCCGCGGTGTCACCATTTCCATTCATCTGACGTCTTATGATTATTATTCCTGGAAGTGTCGGGCAGATAATCATTTCATGGACACCCCCCTCGTCCATCAGATCTGTGGGGGCTCTGTGCGTAGATCCGTCCCTCGCCAGGGGGGGGGGGGGGCTCTGTGCGTAGATCCGTCCCTCGCCGGGGGGCTCGGCTCTGTGCGTAGATCCGTCCCTCGCCGGGAAGGCTCTGTGCGTAGATCCGTCCCTCGCCGGGGGGGGCTCTGTGCGTAGATCAGTATGATCCGTCCCTCGCCGGGGGGGGGGGGGGGGCGCTCTGCGCGTAGATCCGTCCCTCGCCGGGGGGGGGGCTCTGCGCGTAGATCCGTCCCCTCGCCGGGGGGGGGGGGGGGGGGGCTCTGCGCGTAGATCCGTCCCTTCCCTCGCCGAGGGGGGGGAGGGGGGGCTCTGCGCGTAGATCCGCCCCTCGCCGCGGGGGGGGGAGGGGGGGGCTCTGCGCGTAGATCCGCCCCTCGCCGCGGGGGAGGGGGGGGGGGCTCTGCGCGTAGATCCGCCCCTCGCCCGCGGGGGAGGGGGGGCTCTGCGCGTAGATCTGCCCCCACTGATCATTTTTATGCAGTTTATTGCTCAGACATGAAGCTGTAGTACCGGTCTGTTCAGCTCTCATTGTGACTGTGGCGGGGGAAGGGGAGGGGGGGGGTCACCTCTGTTTGGGGTAAACATTGCACTCCTCCAGCGCTGGTTGGGGTCAGGGAAGTCCGGATCCGTCTGTCCTTCATTCAGGTCCCCTGGAGATCCGTCCTCCATGTACAGGGCACACACACCGTTAGATCTCATCCCCCCTCCCCCCAATATACACATATCCCCCCCCCCCCCTTCACAGATTTATTTGCTGATATCAGAACTGTCTGTGTTACCACAGAGCCTCCAGATGCTGGAATCGTATTTTCCATAACGATGCATCCAATCAGAGAGGCCATTGCACTCCTTAATTGCTGGTAGATCTAAAGGAGGTCGTGCAATCAGATTGTATGTGTGTGCCGGGGCTGTACGCTGATTGTACAATCGCCTTTAGACTTGTCAGACCTATGAGGACCGGCCTGAACCATTCAGGCGGGATTGTCCTCTGTTTATCGGCCGATCTGAAGGAGATTGTACAATCCGATTGTAGTGTGTGTGGACACCATTAGACATTGTGGTGAGGTTTATGATGAAAGTCGGCGTTCGATTATTACCCAGAAGAGGCTGAAAGACTACAGAGACCTGACCTTTGAGGATGACGTAACCCGGAGTTGGACCTTAAAGAAAATGGCGGACAAGTTGGGGAAGAGCGCGGTGAAGCGGCCATCACACGTTATTATTGAATCTGTTCGATGGATTTCACAATCGTTCTTCCTCTCCGGATCCCGATTGAGTCATTGTGAGCAATCCACACTTCCCCAAATCTTCTCCTTCTGTCACATGACCAGCCGTGCCATAGACCAGCCGGGGGGGGGCAACCTGGAGGACATGGAAGAAATAGAAGATCCCCGAGGGAGGGGGGTGTAGGGGGCGGGGTCAGCGTCCTGTAAAAAAAAACACTTTACCAAAAAAAAAAAATCAAGCTCCCAGTGAAGACAGCATGAAAAACACATGGAGGGGGGGGGGGGGCTGATTTACTGAAGGCAAATAGACTGTGCACTCTGACAGTGCAGCTATTCCAGAGCTCAGTACAGGAGGGGAAGCTTCACTGTGCTGAGAATAGCCAATCACAGGCAAGGAAAGTGAAAGAGCGTTTATGCCCGCAGATGATTGGTTGATGGAGGTCAGCAGAGCTTCCCCTCAGTTACTAAGCACTGGGCAACTGCAGAGTGCAGCGTCTATTCGTCTGTAGGAAACCCACCCCGTAGTGTCACACTAGTGACCTCTGCCCCCCCCCCCCCCCACACTGTAATATCCCCTGCCCCCCCTTCACATCCCCCCTTCCCCCACAGTAATATCCCCTGCCCCCCTTCATATTATCCCCTGCCCCCCTTCATATTATCCCCTGCCCCTCTTCATATCATCACCCCCCCCCCCACAGTAATATCCCTTGCCCCCCCTTCATATCTCCCTCCCCCCCCCACAGTAATATCCCCTGCCCCCCCTTCATATTTATCCCCTGCCCCTCTTCATATCATCACCCCCCCTCCCCCCCCCCCCCACAGTAATATCCCTTGCCCCCTTCATATCTCCCTCCCCCCCCACAGTAATATCCCCTGCCCCCCTTCATATTATCCCCTGCCCCCTCTTCATATCATCACCCCCCCCCACAGTAATATCTCCTGCCCCCCCTTCATATCTCCCTCCCCCCCCCACAGTAATATCCCCTGCCCCCTTTCATATTATCCCCTGCCCCTCTTCATATCATCACCCCCCCCCCCCCACAGTAATATCCCTTGCCCCCCTTCATATCTCCCTCCCCCCCCCCACAGTAATATCCCCTGCCCCCCTTCATATTATCCCCTGCCCCTCTTCATATCATCACCCCCCCCCCACAGTAATATCTCCTGCCCCCCCTTCATATCTCCCCCCCCCCCCCCCAGTAATATCTCCTGCCCCTCTTCATATCATCATCTCCCCCCCCCCCCCCACATTAATATCATCTCCCCCCAGTAATATCTGTCTCCCTTTTATCTTTTATATCATCCCCCCCCCCCCCCCCCCCCGAGTAATATCCTCTGTCTCCCCTTCACATCACCCCCCCCCCCCAAGTGTGTCTCCTGCCCCTCTGCCCCCTTTCACATCATTCCCCCCCAGTAATATCCTCTGCCTCTCATTCACATCATCCCTCCCCACTGGTGTGTCTCCGGCCCCTCTGCCCCCCTCACATCTCCCACACTAGTGTCCTCTTCCCCCCCCCCATCACATCACCCCCCCCCCCCACTGGTGTGTCTCCGGCCCCTCTGCTCCCCCTCACATCTCCCACACTAGTGTCCTCTTCGCCCCCCCTTCACATCACCCCCCCCCCCCCCCCACTGGTGTGTCTCCGGCCCCTCTGCCCCCCTCACATCTCCCACACTAGTGTCCTCTTCGCCCCCCCTTCACATCACCCCCCCCCCCCCCCCCCACTGGTGTGTCTCCGGCCCCTTCTGCTCCCCCTCACATCTCCCACACTAGTGTCCTCTTTGCCCCCCCTCACATCACCACCCCCCCCCCCACTGGTGTGTCTCCGGCCCCTCTGCTGCCCCTTCACATCTCCCACACTAGTGTCTCTCTTCCCCCTTCACATCACCCCCCCCCCCACTACTGTGTCTCCGGCCCCTCTGCTCCCCCTCACATCTCCCACACTAGTGTCCCTTCGCCCCCCCTTCACATCACCGCCCCCCCCCCCCCCCACTGGTGTGTCTCCGGCCCCTCTGCTCCCCCTACATCTCCCAACTAGTGTCTCTTTGCCCCCCCTTCACATCACCCCCCCCCCCCACTGGTGTGTCTCCGGCCCCTCTGCTCCCCTGTCACATCTCCCACACTAGTGTCCTCTTTGCCCCCCCTTCACATCACACCCCCCCCCCATGGTGTGTCTGGGGGAGGGGTGCTCCCCTTCCTTCCCACACTAGTGTCTTCCCTCCCTTCCTGTAGATCCTGACTGGGGGGGGGTGCATTTTACACTGGGCTACCGATGGTTGGGGGGGAAGGGGGTGCTCCCTTTAGGACTGGGCTTCCTGTAGATGGATGGGGGGGGGGGGGGGGGGGGTGCTTTTACACTGGGCTACCGATGGTTGGGGGGGAGGGGGTGCTCCCTTTAGACTGGGCTTCCTGTAGATGGATGGGGGGGGGGGGGTGCTTTTACACTGGGCTACCGATGGTTGGGGGGGAGGGGGTGCTCCCTTTAGACTGGGCTTCCTGTAGATGGATGGGGGGGGGGCTCCCTACACATGAGGCTGACAATAGAAGGGACTTCCCATAGTGTGCTGGAGTCCTCACAGTGATAGCGCCCCCCACAGGCCTCAGTCCCCCCCCCCCCACTCTATCTGTCTAGTGGTGGCTGTGTGATCCCGGACTATCAGTCTTCCTGCAACATTCCCATTGCTTTCCCCCCCCCCCCCCCCCCCCCTCTGTCTTGCGCCATATCTTCTGTTCCATTAGAAGTTTATCTCTGGGGGGCGATATGATGCTGGCCAGACCCCCCCCCAGCAACATTCCTAATCCTCTGTGCTGGAGTACTGTGATCAGAAGAACACGGAGCAGAAGTGTCATGTCCACAGAAGATGGGGGGAGGGGTGGGGCGTGTATACGGACAGAAGGTACATGTATACAGTATGTAACAGATCATTGCAGGGATCCGAGTCACAAATGTTTTGTCCAGAACTTGGAATCTGCTGCAGACGATACGAATGAAACCCCTATAGATGATCCGACACTAATCCGTGATAAGAGGTCCCACACCTGCCTGGAAAAGAAACAAAGTATCCCAATCCTGTCCTCTGTCATCCTCGTCCCGATATACGGATACTTTGTTTCTTTTCTATACTTGGCCGGTGAGTGCAGATCTCTTCTGATCACCGAATATTCTCATTTTAGTTCTGTGCTGATGGTGGAAACCTCATAGAAAGCGCATTTCATGTCTGATGCGAGTTTTTGTTTTCTCTCCTAGGAACCTGCTACACGATATTCGATCTGGGATTTCGCTTTGACGTAGCATGGTAAATGGGCTTCTGTATATACAATACGGCCACCATGTGTGATATGGCAGACACCTACCTCATCTGGTTGGTTGAAAAGTAGACAGGATTGTAGGATGTATGATTTATACTGTGTGTATGTGTCTAGATGTACACTATATTGCCAAAAGTATTGTCCCCCCCCTCCCCCCTCCCAAATCATGTGATTCAGGCGTTCCAATCCCCTCCAAATCATGTGATTCAGGCGTTCCAATCCCCTCCAAATCATGTGATTCAGGCGTTCCAATCCCTCCCAAATCATGTGATTCAGGGCGTTCCAATCCCCTCCAAATCATGTGATTCAGGCGTTCCAATCCCCTCCAAATCATGTGATTCAGGCGTTCCAATCCCCTCCAAATCATGTGATTCAGGCGTTCCAATCCCCTCCAAATCATGTGACTCAGGCGTTCCAATCCCCTCCAAATCATGTGATTCAGGTGTTCCAATCCCCTCCATGGCCACAGGTGTATACAATCAAGCCCTAGGCATGCAGACGGCTTCTACAAACATTGGTGAAAGAATGGGTCGCTCTCAGGAGCTCAGTGACTCCAAGCGTGGTCCCGTGATAGGTGGCCACCTGGGCAATAAGTCCATCCGTGACATTTCCTGGCTACTAAATATTCCACGCTCAACTGTTAGTGGGATTATAACAAAGTGGAAGCAACTGGGAACAACAGCCAACTCAGCCACCAAGTGGTAGGCCACGTCACATGACAGGGCGGGGTCAGCGCATGCTGAAGCGCACAGTGCGCAGAAGTCACCAACTGTCTGCAGAGTCAATAGCTAAAGACTCCAAATTGGTGTGGCCTTCAGATGAGCCCAACAACAGTGCGTAGAGAGCTTCATGGAATGGGTTTCCATGGCCGAGCAGCTGCATCCAAGCCTTACATCACCAAGTGCAATGCAAAGTGTCGGATGCTGTGGTGTAAAGCACGCCGCCACTGCACTCTAAAGCAGAGGAGACATGTTCTCTGGAGTGACCAATCATGCTTCTCTGGCAATCCGATGGGACGTGTCTGGGGTTTGGTGGCCAGGAGAACGGTACTTGCCTGACTGCATTGTGCCAAGTGTAAAGTTTGGTGGAGGGGGGATTATGGTGTGGGGGTGTTGTTCAGGGGGTGGGCTTGGCCCCCTAGTTCCAGTGAAGGGAACTCTTAAGGTGACATTTTGGACAATTTCATGCTCCCAACTTTGTGGGAGGAGTTTGGGGATGGCCCCTTCCTGGTCCAACATGACTGCCCACCAGTGCACAAAGCAAGGTCCATAAAGACATGGAGGAGCCAGTTTGGGGTGGAGGAACTTGACTGTCCTGCACAGAGTCCTGACCTCAACCCCATAGAACACCTTTGGGATGAATTAGAGTGGAGACTGCGAGCCAGGCCTCCTCCCCCGACATCAGTGCCTGACCTTGACAATGTGCTTCTGGAAGAATGGTCCAACCTTCCCATAGACACCCTCCTAAAACCTTGTGGACGGCCTTCCCAGAAGAGTTGAAGCTGTTATAGCTGCAAAGGGCGGGGCCAACTCAACATTGAACTCTACGGACTAAGACTGGGGGCCATTAAAGGTCATGTGCGGGGGGAAAGGGCGGGGCCAACTCAATATTGAACCCTACGGACTAAGACGGGGGGGGGGCCATTAAAGGTCATGTGCGGGGGCAAAGGGCGGGGCCAACTCAATATTGAACCCTACGGACTAAGACTGGGGGGGCCATTAAAGGTCATGTGCGTGGAAAGGGCGGGCCAACTCAATATTGAACCCTACGGGACTAAGACTGGGGGGCCATTAAAGGTCATGTGCGTGGAAAGGGCGGGGCCAACTCAATATTGAACCCTACGGACTAAGCCTGGGGGGACCATTAAAGGTCATGTGCGGGCAAAGGGCGGGGCCAACTCAATATTGAACCCTACGGACTAAGACTGGGAGGCCATTAAAGGTCATGTGCGGGGGAAAGGCGGGGCCAACTCAATATTGAACCCTACGGACGAAGACTGGGGGGCCATTAAAGGTCATGTGCGTGGAAAGGGGGGGGGCCAACTCAATATTGAACCCTACGGACTAAGACTGGGGGGTCATTAAAGGTCATGTGCAGGTGGAAAGGGCGGGGGCCAACTCAATATTGAACCCTACGGATTAAGACTGGGAGGCCATTAAAGGTCATGCGTGGGGAAAGGCCGGCAGGCAATTGTGGGGCAATATAGTGTGTGTATTTGCACACCTGAGAATATTTTTCTCTTCCGTGATGACAATGATGGATTATTCCAGGATTATGGTGTTCTGTATTATTAGCTAAAGTGACCAATTTATCTACAAATTAGATTGTGCTATTTTTTCAATACAAAAAAAGAGTAGAAAACGGTTGTAGTTGTAACTGTTGAGATTAATATTTCACATGAGAAAAATGGAAAAATAGCAATTTGGATCCTTAAAAAAAAAAAACAAAAAAAAACTTTGGGATGGGATCTTTCCATCTCACGTGTTGCGGGTAGATCTTGCGTCTGGACACGGGATCTGTGTGTTGTCACAGCCTCCATATTGAATGTTCTGTTTCCACGTTTCTTTTCCTTGTGACCGCCATCACTAAGACGAGAAGTAAAAGGAAAACCGAAATCCTCCTGATGTGGGTAATCGCCAGTCCCAGAAGTTCTCATCTTCCCCAACACGACCCAAAACTAACAGAAATGTTTCCGTTTGTGATTTTTGCGCTTTTTGATCTCCTCACATCGAGGTTTCTGCCTTCGGGGGATTTCATGAGACTAATGAATTCTTGGAATTCTGTGCAATTCTATAGACTCCTTTCAGCCGTTGTATCCTCCTATCCTTTATATCAGGGGGTCTCCAAACGTTTCAAACAAAGGTCCAGTTTACTGTCCTTCAGACTTTTGGGGGGGCTGGACTGTGGCCAACGAGGGTAGAAAATGTCCCGGGCCCAGCATCAGTGAGAATAAACCTAGCCTTAAGGGTTGGTGGTCTGTAGGAGGAGAATAGTGTCCCATCATTGGTGTCAGTGGGAGGAATAGTGCCCCATCATTGGTGTCGGCGGGGGGGAGTGGCGCCGCATCATGGTGGTCGGCAGGGGGGAGTGGCGCCGCATCATTGGTGTCGCGGGGGGAAGTGGGCGCCGCATCATTGGGTCGTCTGCGGGGGGGGAGTGGCGCCGCACTCATTGGTGTCTGCGTGTACGGGGGGGAGTGGCGCCGCATCATTGGTCGGCGGGGGAGTGGCGCCGCATCTTGGTGTCGGGGGGGGAGTGGCGCCGCATCATTGGTGTCGGCGGGGGGGAGTGGGCGCCGCATCATTGGTGTCGGCGGGGGGGAGTGGCGCCGCATCATTGGTGTCGGCGGGGGGGAGTGGCGCCGCATCATTGGTGTCGGCGGGGGGAGAGTGGCGCCGCATCATTGGGTGTCGGCGGGGGGGAGTGGCGCCGCATCATTGGTGTCGGCGGGGGGGGGGGAGTGGCGCCGCATCATTGGTGTCGGCGGGGGGGGGAGTGGCGCCGCATCATTGGTGTCGGCGGGGGGAGTGGCGCCGCATCATTGGTGTCGGCGGGGGGGAGTGGCGCCGCATCATTGGTGTCGGCGGGGGGGGGAGTGGCGCCGGCATCATTGGTGTCGGCGGGGGGGAGTGGCGCCGCATCATTGGTGTCGGCGGGGGGACTGGCGCCGCATCATTGAGTGTCGGCGGGGGGGAGTGGCGCCGCATCATTGGTGTCGGCGGGGGGGAGTGGCGCCGCATCATTGGTGGTCGGCGGGGGGGAGTGGCGCCGCATCATTGGTGTCGGCGGGGGGGGGAGTGGCGCCGCATCATTGGTGTCGGCGGGGGGGGAGTGGCGCCGCATCATTGGTGTCGGCGGGGGGGGGGAGTGGCGCCGCATCATTGGTGTCGGCGGGGGGAGTAGTGGCGCCGCATCATTGGTGTCGGCGGCGGGGGGGAGTGGCGCCCCAAGGGCGGATAAAGGCCAGCAAGGGGCCACAGTTTAGTGACCCCTGCTATATATGGTATAAGGTCTGTTATCGGAGGAGGTCATGTATCTTCTCTCCCTCTATATATGGTGTACAGTTTGTGCTCAAGTCTCCCTTCCCTGGCAGAAATGGTAAAATTTTGGCATTGATAGTAAAAATCTGACCGATCATACCAAAACTATTTTATTGAAGGATAGTGATGATATGAAGCCATTTATGATCACTTAGTTGTTCGGCTCCTTTTTTAAATCCTAATAACAGAAATCACCCGAATGGCCAGGATCAAAAGTCTCTGCCCGCCCTGGATCAGAAGTTCCCTCCCCTGGAATGTTTGACCTTGGTACAGACACACAAGGTGACACACACAGCTTGCAATGGCCATTAAAGATCCATTTCCACATCTTTGCCTTTTTTAAATTGCGATTAGTGTCCGGGTAATAAATAGTCAGAGTTTTACCTCTCATGTGGATGCACTGAGGAGGCCAGATACTGAGCCATGGGGAGCAGAAAAGAACAGTCAAAAGACCTGCGTAACAAGGTCATGGAAACGTTATAAAGATGGAAAAAGATATCCAAAGCCTTGAATATGGCAGTCAGTTTTGTTCAATCACTTAAGAAGTGGAAAGTTCGAGGCTCTCTTGACACCAAGCCAAGGTCAGGTAGACCAAGAAAGATTGCAGCCACAACTGCCAGAAGAATTGTTCGGGATACAAAGAAAACCTCCACAGGTAACCTCAGGAGAAATTCAGGCTGCTCTGGAAAAAAGACTGTTTGGGTGTTTCAAGGAGCACAATACGAAGATACTTGAACAAAAATGAGCTGCATGGTTGAGTTGTCAGAAAGAAGCCTTTACTGTGCCAATGCCACAAAAACGTCTGGTTACAATATTATTATTATTATACAGTATATAGCTCCAAAGGGTATGCTCAGCGCTGTACAGTAGCAAGGGGGACAGAACATGAGACAAGACAGTAACAATACACTACTTGAGGGGTTCGAGGGCCCCTGCTCTTTCGAGCT